ACAAATAAGATTAAATGGGCAAATGTAATGGCCAACGTCCTTAAGGATAAGGCACCGTAAGAAGAAGAATTGCCACAGCATTAACAAATTTCGAAACGCAGAAAGAAAATAAACGAGGTAGACCTTCGTCTGGTACACCACCTCCCATTTTGAAGAAGAAACCGAGTCATCATGCACCCCCTGAAATGACACCAGGTAATTGGGGGCACTGGCCACAACTAATTGATATACAAAAAATGCTCGAAAATGTCACTCTTGCAAAAGAAAAACAAAATACATCTGCAAAAGATTCAACGAGCCGCTGTGTCCAACATACTTTGGACATTGTCATAGCAGTAACTGACGCTTTCGTGATTCCGCAATTGCATAGTGACCACTAGAGTGGACGGACTAATTTTTAGGTTTTAAGAAAAAAAATCATGTTTTTACACTTACTACACTATTTTCTAATGTTAATTTGTAATATTTCGTAATAAGATAATTTCTAAGAAAAAAAATTTCCTTAAAATTATGCATGAGAGGGTTAGGACATGAACATTGCAGGTATTACTGCATTTACTTTGAATTTTATGAGTTATTTTATAGCTTTTGGCACAACTCGGTTATATAAAATGCAATTTAGCAAAAAAACTCAGATATTTCACACAATAAGATAATTGCTCGATAAAAAACAATACAAGAATACTATTTACTATTAAAAGTTCTCTTTTGTCCTACAAACGTAACACTGAGATACAAAAATGTCATTGGTCTGGTTCGCACTTCTTTTTAAGACCCTATAAAAAGAAGTTTTAGAATGTTTAGACAAGCTTTTCTAAAAATATCATTACAAAGCTTTAATTACAAAAGTTATTCAAAAAATTCTAACTGTAGGAACAAGTATTTTGACTGGCTGTCACAAGTAAAAATTATAAAAGGAATAAATGCAGGAATAGAAACTATAGTTAAACACAGTGCGGTCCTGTAGGAAAAGATGGGTGTACCAAAATGGCGATTAGGAGTGTTTCAAATTTCGATGTTTTGTTCTACTCCTTCGCTCCTTTCAATTAATTTTATAATTTACTTTCCATAAAAATGCATTTTTTCTTGGAAAAATCTTTTCCTACGAACTCACACCACAAGATTTGCCTTCACTTACTTTTATAAACCGTATTCACATAAATCACACTATTTCTTATAAACTAGTCACCCTTCTCAATAGGTCTCGGCCCTAAAATGCGCACACTGGATAAATTTACCTCGATAAAAGTGTTCCAGGCCATAATATCAAATTCTAAATGCACACTACTAACAGTTATATAACATTGTCAAATCTCTAGGTGTACTAACGTCCAATATTACTTTTTTTACAAAAAGAACAAGACCAAAAAGGGAGAGCTTTCTTATTACACACAAATCTGCTAATGTACTAAAGTAGGCAACACGTTATACAAAATAATATTTAGGTATTAAATTCAAATGCTCTTAAAATATATAAAATTAACAATAATAAGACAAAGAGGCTTTAGATAATGTGGAAAAAATAGAAATAGTTACCTTAAAACTAACTAACATGATTATAATGAATTTATGATACAATTATTATGAATGATCTCAATTTTGAATCATAATTATCTAATAATTAATTAATAAGTGATAATTTTAGTAATAAGAGAAAACTCTTCCTTTTACACGAATGTTTGTGGCCTTTTGATTATTAAACTATTAAGAATCCATATGTTTTATCACAAAATTTTTTTATGTAATCATATGTATTTAAGGCGCTACCATATCTCGAGTTTTGAAGCAACCTTCCGTTTTTATTTACACGCTGAGTATAACGAAGCAAAATCAGAAAATCTAAAAGAATAAATAATGCAAACGAATTATTTTCATGTGTTTTCCAACTTTGCTGTAGCGACCTACAGTGCGAGTTGTAGATATTGCCTCTTCCCACAATTTTCTGTGTCGTAAAGTTTAAATTTATATATTTTCGGATAATTTAATAGTATTCAGTTGTTTCCCATATTCTAATTAATTTTTAAAAATATTGACATCTGTCAAAAATACGAGGTATCGACGAGTTTACCGAAAGTACAAGCTGATTATAGCCGCAAATGTCAAACATGAAACAAAATATTTCAGTTAGGCAGTGTTGGCATGTGTTTATAATGTATATGCTGTATGCTTCAAATTCTTCTTCTTAAAGTGCCCTCTCCTCAAAGGAGGTTGGCTACTATAATTTTAAACTCTTCTCTATCTTCAGCTGTTCTTATTAGCTGTTCAAAATTTAGCCCTGTCCATTGTCGGATGTTTCTGAGCCACGATAGTCTTTTCCTTCCTAGGCCTCTCTTTCCCTCGATTTTTTCCTTTCACTATAAGTTGGGCATATTGGTACTTATTATTTCTCAGTATATGGCCTAGGTATGATGTTTTTCTAACTTTTACTGTGTTAAAAAGTTCTCTTTCCTTGCCTATTCTATGCAGCACTTCTTCGTTTGAGGTATGCGATGTCCATGAAATTTTGAGTATTCTCCGGTAGATCCACATTTCAAAGGCCTCGAGTTTTCGAGTTTTATTCGAGAATCACAAAGCAGTTTTTTATTTTTTTGAAAGATTTTCTGGCCTGTTCTATTCTCGATCTTATTTCTAGATCAGGATTTAGGCTGCTATCGATCCAACATCCCAGGTACTTAAATCTATTGACCTGTTCTAAGATGTGCCCATTTATTGTGCAAGGTTGAGGTACGTTTTGGTTTTTTCGGATTGACATCACTTTGGTTTTTTTAATGTTTATTTTCATACCAAATTGCTCACAGGTCGAGTTGGTCTTATCGATGAGTCGTTGTAGACCTAAGTCGGAATCCGCAATTAACACTGTATCATCGGCGTATCTGATACTGTTGATATTTACGCCATTCACATTGACTCCATCCTTGGAATCCTCCAATGCTTCTTTAAATAAAAACTCGGAGTAAAGATTAAACAGCAGAGGCGACAGAACACATCCTTGTCTAACTCCCCTCCTAATTTCTACTTCTGCGGATGTGGAACCTTCGATCCTATCTCTGGCGTTTTGGTTCCAGTACAAGTTTTTTAAGAATTTGATGTCTTTTCCATCTAAACCGACTTCTTGCAAACGTTCTAATAGTAGGTCGTGTCTTACTCTATCAAATGCTTTTTCGAAGTCTATAAAGCATATAAATATATCTTTCTGTTGGTCGTAGCATTTTTGGTCGAGAACTAGTAAACTGAACAGGGCTTCTCTCGTTCCCATGCCGGCTCTGAATCAAAACTCATCGTCTCCGATGATTGTTTCGCACTTTCTATAGATGCGATTATGTACGATTTTTAGTAGGACTTTTACTGCATGACTCATAAGGCTTATCAGACAAAACTCATTGCAGTGTTGTGGGTTTGCCTTTTTTGGTAGTGGGATGAATATTGACTCCAGCCAATCTTGGGGTATTTTACCTGTAACATAAATGCGATTGAATAAAAGGACAAATATTTCGATATTTTCTTCGCTGATTAATTTTAACGTTTCTGGGTATATTCCGTCTGGACCTGGGCTTTTATTTGTTTTGAGATGATTAATTGCATTTATGATTTCAGATTTCAGAATTGCTGGCCCTTCGTTGTTATTTTCCAATCTTGATTTTTCTCGTATGTCGTGAAAAAGAATTTTAATATAGTTTTCCCATTCTTTCAGTTTATCTTACCGTTGATTCTAGCAGTTTGCCATCCGTGTTCAGCATGGTGTGAAAAGTCGTTCTCTTGGTAGTGGATGTAAACTCTTTTACCTTTTTATGTAAATTAAAAAAATCGTGCCTTTGTTGCAGTTTTTCTATTTCAACGCAATTTGTTTCCAGCCATTTCTCTTTTGCTTCGGTTATTTTTTTTTCGAATTATTCTATTTAGAAAAAACCTTAGAAAAGTACATTTTGATTATAGTATGTTATGAATTCTGCAATTTTTAATTTATATAAAACAAGAATGAGTAAATATTTGTTTCTTTGGAGATTAATTGCAGTTAATTATTTAACATTTTTTTTTGGCAATTGCCCTTTGATAGATTAGGGGATAGATTTGGCAATCGTCAAATCAGCAGTTGTCAGATTCCAATAAATGTTTCCAATTAATCAAAGAAAGAGACAAATATTTACTCGCTATTGTCTCATATCATTTAAAAATTGCAGATTTCATAAACTAATATAATCAAAATGTATACTGCCAAACCTCAAATATTTTATTTCATGGTTGACATTTGCAGCTATATTCATCTTGTACTTTCGTAAACTCAACTCTTTTATGGTAGCAAATGGCATGTGCAATCACAGTCGTAAAGATACGGAGTGATATAGTCCGTTAGCTGAGTTTGGAAATATTGTGATATATTAATTGCTGGAAAACATACAATACCTACCTCTTAGTATTTATAGTTCAAATAAACTTTATGTTTTTCCGTTTTCATTGAAAAAAGAACAATAATCATGAATGATCGAATATACAGGGTGTCCAATTAAGTCGGAAACATATGGGAAACTTTTTTATAATTAGTATTATAAAAAAAAATATTTATAAAAAGCCCTAAATGATCTAAAACCTAGAATACATCATCAGATAATAAATTTGTTTTAGTCATTTAGGCGGGTTTTCAAAAATTATGAATTTTATGTAAAAAACAAAATTCAAATTCCACCGCCAACTACAATTCAGATTTCAAAAATAAACTGTTTTAATTTTTGCAGAAAACAAGCAAAATATTTGGATTTTTTCAGAGTATGGTAGCACCCTGCAAGGTAGGCAACACTTTATACATGATCATATTTATCAATATTAGAGATGCCTTTAAAAATAACCGAAAATTATAAATAACAAAACAAAAACACCCTGCAACGTGTTAAAAAGTAGATCTTACGTATCTAAAAGTTCACTGACACTTAAAACAGTTAAAAACCCAATAAAATTTAAATAAAATCTAAACAAAAATTTAAATAAACAAAATCTTTTTATCTTCGTGCAATTTGGGCAAAAATGTTTTTCACAATCAAAAAATCAAGATTATTTCAAATTAAACACGTGTTAATTCTGAATTTTTCTTTTTAGCAAAGTGTTAGGAGATCACATACGCTCAGTAATTCACTTTTATCCTAAATTTGATGTTTCAATACATAAATATTAAATAATAATTGATGCCTTAAACCTTTCACAAACATAATCTCAACTATACTTTGTATATTACTGACTAAAATCACAAAAATCTCAAAAGTTGCGACAAAATTTCTTTTTTATAAATATGTATAATTCGTTTTTAGTTTAAAAATTGAAGAATGTCGACATTTTGATAAAACGAAATTACATTTTTAACGTTTTAGTTTCAGTTAACTAGTTTTCTGTTTGGCATAACACTTATAGTTGTAGAAACTTTGTTTATTTGGCAAATTTGGAAGTTTCTTAGAATATCCACAAATAAACTTCACAATACTGCAGTGTTGTCACATTGCACAATGTATTAGTTCTGACGCAATACAAGCAAAATAGCACAGAGACAATTTTAACTACTGTATATGCGTTTCTAGGTGTTTTTATCATAAAAATGCTTTTGAAGTCTGATTAGATTCATCAAAACGTCAACATTTTTCAATTTTATGGTGTCAAATCATAAGATTATTCTACATTACACTGTATACAATATCAACCTTATGCTACACAATCTCAAATGTAAAAATTCTAACATCCAGAACCCGAACGTGGCATACATTTTTCTACAATGGTATACAATCTTGCAATATTAGTTTTCCTATCAAATTACAACGTTCATTTGCCCGCAAATGAGTCAACTACTGGTAAATGCCCTTAGAATGTTTCGCAATCCCAAACTTGAATAATAAACAAGTATAAAAATTATCCCAATTGATCTAGTAGACAATTCTACATTATTCTAGAGACTGAACTAATTCCAAATATCATCTTTCGCTGTAAGGCTGCATTTATTTTACGTTTAGAGATGGTTTTAGATATGCAAACTTCAATCCAAGTTTAATGTTGTGCTTTAGGCGTAAAAATTTAGAAGTTAGGTTAGGTTATACAACTATAAAAAGTACATTTTGTTCCTGACACCTTACGACAAAACACAGCCTTGCAGAAAAGATCTCTACAACAATTTCAGAAATGATCCTATACTCAGTCTATGTGTCAGACTTGTGGCGGAACAGAATTGTCGCTAATATATACATCTAACTTGGTGTGCGCTTTTACATTGGTATCTACTTCTATTTTGCCGTTTCTTGCGCTCGCAGATTTGGATAATTCGCTAAAGTTGGGTTCGTTATTGGTGGTGGGGGAGTCTACGATGTTGAGACGCAGCATTGAATCTTCGAGAACTAATCTAGAGTCTTCATCCGTGCTGTCTATCGATGAGGATCTGTTTCCGGATAGACGGCCGCTAGCGAAGCCTCCCTTGTTCCTCTCCAATCTTAAGACCTACAACATACTCATTGTTATAGCATTTTATATGCAGACATTATTCTAGAACTAAAATATAAACCGATAATTACTCGGATTTTGGATGGAATTAGTTTTATTGATCGGCTACCATGCTATGGTGCAAGATGTAAAAGAAAGAAATCGATAAATAAAAGAAAAATAGAATGTTTCACAAACACTGACAAAGAACGAACAAGGGAAAAGACAAAGTGCTTTATTCCCTTTAGGTATCTTAAAACGCATGGTTTAATATGGGGAAGGTTTTCATCTTCAACTTATGTCTACTTCAGTTCTGATATTTAAGTCAAGCATTCAAACCCTTGGATGGGTGTACCGATACACCTGGTGACACTTAGTGAAAATCTGTACGAATCCAATATGGCAACAGTACGACAGGATCAGAAGTTCTCAAACCAATTGAGAGCAAAGAGTATGAGTTAAACAAGGATGCGTTTTGAAACCTGACTTGTTCAATATTTATAGTGTATATGTCGTTAGGATAGCTTTAGAAGAATGGGTTATGGAGTAATGGTGGCTGGTAGAAAAATCTTCAATTCAAGATTTGATGATGACACTACCGGTCCAGACAATATCAATGTCAAAATACTTAAATTAATTGCAGATGAAAGTAAAAGCCTCGACTTAATAACAGTACTATTCAATAAGATATATGACACAGGTAGAAAATACTGTAAATATATTTACTCATTCACGAATGTTCTAGGACAGATACTACCGAATTCTACAAAAGGGTCGGATAACCAGTTCAGTTACTGAGAATGCCGTCGGCGACGACTCTCTGAATTTACCAGAATGCGATTGACTTTTCGAGACCTGCTGAATGAGTCACCTACTGGATGTAACGTCGTCGGTGCATACCCAGACTTTTCGAGATAACGGCATTTTATATATAAATACCATGGATTTTCATTGAGCAGTTAGTAAGAAGATAAATTCGGGGCTCGCGTATTTAAATGTACGAACGTAATAAATAGTTGTACAGTTATTTAATAAATTGATAATAAATTACCGTGAGTTTTAATAAATTAGAACTATAAAAATATAACAATACCAACAAACTGCGATCACTATCGAATATTAAGCATGATGTCTCATATCCTTAAAACTTTTCTCATAATCATTCATGTACGAATTTACAAAAAATGTAAATTTCGGATGTGTGACACTCAATTCTGATTTCGAAATGGACTGGGACACGAGAAGCTGTTTTTGCCTTAAATGCGTTAATACAACGATGCAGAGACATGAATGTAGATGTATATGCATGTTTTATTGATTATCGAAAAGCATTTGACTGCGTTAACCATCAAAAAGATGATCAAAATTCTGAGAACAACTGGAATTCTAAGTAAGACTTGCGAATTATCTCAGAACTATATTGGCACCAAACGGTAACCACTGATATAAAGCACACAACATCTGAAGATATACGAATCCGACGAGTGCGACAAGGTTGCGTCTTATCACTGCTATTATTTAATCTGTATTCGAAATCTATATTCAGAAAGGCATTTTACGACGTTCAAGGTGGAATCAAGATTAACGGAACCAACATACACAACATCAGGTACGTTGATGATACCGTCCTAATAGCAAGCAAGGCACAAAAACTACAAAATATAATAAATGCGGGAGTTCGTCATAGCGAACTATGAAGCAGAATTGTGAAGAGGACGGTCACCAACCAGATGGTTTAAGTAAGGTAAAATTCACAATTCAGCGGGCCACTTGTTCAGCGAAACTCTTAGAGTAACTGATGAGACCAATGGAGAATATTTATTAGGAGTATTGGAGAAAATCACGATCCTCAAGGGAAACGATAACAGAAAGAGATGAAAACCCTTCTTAAATAACGCCCATGTTCCTGTTAAAGGGGAAAAGAAATGCGGTAAAAAAAATTGATTTATCGACAAAGAAAAAAACGGGATGCGACCGAGAAGGGAAAGCGTAGTTTTCTTATCATCTACGTACGGAGCGATGGTTTTTGATTTAATTTAATTTGATTCGATTTATTTTATTTTAATTTAATTAATTTAATTTCAATTTTATTTTATTGTGCACGGAAACACGCATGGGACTGCGTTTACTACTTCATGTAGTGTAGTCATTTATCGTTTCAGTCGGTTTCATTTTTTTTTAAACTGGACGTGATCTACCGCCCCGTCCGTAGCCCCCAATAAGAAATATGCTTTAAAAAAAAACGCAAATAGGACTTTAGGTTTACCTTGCAAAGTAAAATATATACAATTATTTATCTTCGATTTATCAATTTCCAAAAATTAACAATGCTTCCATAAATTGTAATTATATATACAATTTTATAATACAAAATCTTCAGTTACATAACGCGTGTCTAAACTTCGTTCCCAAAGTATATTCTGACACATAAAACCAACGCTTTTGGATAACGGACACATCGTATTTATTGCTTTAGTAATGCAATCTTCAAAATGGCAGTCTGGCACCATTTTCTATTTTTAAATGGGATCATAGTGCAAGTAATACATTACTTAAAAGTTGCTGTGCCAATGTTCAAAGAAGACAATGAGGAAAAATATGGACGGACTACCTCTAATAATTTAATAGACTTCTGTGTCTATGAAAAACTATTGAACAATCAATTTACTTGTTTAATTGTCCACAGTCGAATATAGTCATTTATTTTTATTGACGTTTGTGAAAAATATGACGTAATTGACATTTTTTTAATCTAATATTTTTGACATATGTCAATAAAAACATATCAATTCTAACAAAATGTGATAAATTAAAAAAAATTACTTGTTTTCCATAAAATAATTACCATAACTTCCATAAAAAGACTACCAAATTATAACTAGTTCACACTTTTTTGGCAACATCGCAAATGAGGTATTACCTTCCAAATAATCAAGTTGCCAACAAATGATTCAAGTTTTATGGTTCAGAAAATAGATGGGGAGCTGAATTTAAATGTATTTCATGCTTATATTGATACCAAAAATCAATTTTCACCAACCAAATCATACACACCAAAAAGAAAAAATTAAAACATTACACAAAAACTATATATGTACATCTTCACAATCATCATAAATTTTAAAAAATCAAAAGCTATACATTAAACATGCATTAAGTACGAGTAGAAGTAAAATGAACATTTGAATTAACCTATATATACAAATACCTGCACTTCATCTAATTTATATAACGATGCACGTCATCGGCGTCATAGCCTGTGACGTCATATGATACCAACACGAAATATTTAGGGTTTAGGTGTGTTCTTTTTAGAATCACTTTACCGAGTACACTGGCATTACAGCCACTAGGCATATTTTATTATATACGCGTAGAAATAATATTTAAAAATTTCTATTAATGTTAACTTAAAGAAATACACAATAATATGTTTCATTTAATTTGTATAAATCCATTATAAAGAGTTTTTATCAAGAACATTTGTTCGGAACACACTGTAACTGTAATCGAACAAAGGTAAAATTTTGGCATAAATTGGTAACACTTATTTGACAGTTGCGGTGTTGACACTTTTTTGTACTTCATTATTTTGAATTTTAAAGTGAATATCTCTTGTTTTATATTTTTACCTATTTAATAAAATCTGTTCTTTTTAGAACAAAATTAGTGTGTTTTATTTCAAAAATGTCACGTAAGAATTTAAATAGTCGTTGTAAAGAGATGGTAATACTTTTGCAATAATTATGTGACCTATTTGATTTAAAATGGAGTCAGGATTTTTTTATACTTTGGTAACTATGTCAACTTCGATCTCTGACGTAGATAATGACGTAAGTCGTTATCTAAATTAGATGAAGTATATTTCCCTTATTCTTCTCATAAAATTAAATCTTAAAAAAAATTAAAATACGTATCTTTTGTTTTGTTAAACCCAATACCTAGTTTAAATAAAATTGTTTTATCGTTTAAATACTAAGATATAACAGATAAACAATGAGAGAGATATTCCCATGTAACGTGAAACAAATTTCGAATACCCGATGAAGTTTTTGTGTACCATGCAGAACATCACTAAACAGTTAAATTGGTCGGTCGGATTTATTGAGTTTTAGTACAATATCTATTCAATCCAATGATTTTTGGGAAGTTATTGTGGTATAATGGTTATACACACATATTAAGGAACTCAATTTTTTATATTCACGTAAATTTTGATTCTTAAAAATGCCACCAATTAGACAAAACAACTTAGATCATAGAACTCACAAAGCTGCAAGTGAAAAAAATATATGAGCAAGTGTCAAACTGACGAGCAACGTGAAGCGCGACATGAAGTTGAACGGAATCGATGGAATGGAGATCAATAACTTAAAAATTACGCATTTAAGCACCATCAAGCAGCATTCAATTATAACGTGGAGATCGACTAGTTTACAGCAAATCGTTGCTATTGAACAAATAATCGTTGTTTGTTCACATCGCAAGGCATTCAAGATTAAAGTTCCTGGAAGCCCCTGGATTGTGTTGCGCCAACGGCCAAGTCTAATTGATGATATTTATTGGCTTCCGGAAACAAGCCAAATTCTCTCATTTGTCGGTTGAGCTAGTTTTAAATAGTTTTAGAAATTTCCAAACCACTTAATGACCGTTTCATGTACCATCCCTACATCAAGTCATTAAGAATACTAATTCGAGAGAATTTTAAAAAATCTACAAAGTAGCAAAAAAAAAACTATCGATTTTTCAATTGCTCTACTGATAACAAAAAAAAATATTTTAAAAATCATCAATAAAACTGTTATTCATTACAGCGTGATATACTCTAATTGATATTTATTATAAACTAGGTCTTATATCTTAAATTAGAATTAAAACGTCTTAGTCAACAATACATTCATTTTACTCTACTTCGTATAAGACGTAACAGTAGATATTGGACATTTCCTTAAATGTGTTGCACGTCACCTAAATTTGACGTTGTTATTTCCGCACAACGTTGCCGCATTGTCAGGAGTGTGGAGAATATAGGAAATTGTGAAATAATAACGTTCCTTACAACCGAAGTTGAATTGTTTAGTAAATGATAGTAATTACTTATTTACGGTATTTTAGCTTTGCGATATTAATAAAAATACATAATGAGATCTTTATAAACAGTATTGATATTTGCTATCTTTCACACTTCATAAAATAAAAGGATAATTAAACAAGTGTTTTTAATGATATTTAGTGCATATTATTATTGTTATTAGATACTTAAATCAAAATTAAAATATCTACTAAAATATCGTTAGAGAACAGGTAATTACTGCAGTTGATTGTTTATTATTGACGTGCAACAAATCTTAAAGAAAATAATGTATTTTACAGATACGCCTAACTATAAATTAAAATGACAAATTAACACTACATGATATGAAATACACGCAACTCAACTTATATGTGCCTGAGATAATATCAAAACACAAAAATAGATGCGCTAAAATCGTATGAAAAGTCCAATTAGGTATAATGTTACGTTAAGTTGGGACGATTAGCTGATCAATACAGTAGACACAATGTAGGAAAAGGTCTGGCTATTAAATAACGAGACTGCGCGCGCCGAAGGCGTCCTAGAGAGAAATAGTGGAAAACGAATGCAGCATAGGATAGCTGGAAGTGTCTACTCTTCCAGTACGAAAGCTGTGGTAATATTTTTTCTGTAGAGGTTAGCAAAGAACGTGTCTTTTTCTCGTGCCAATAACAATGTCTGACGAAAAACATGAGTAACGGATTAATGTGAAATTTCTCATTAAACTAAAAAAACTCCTACTGAATGCTATAATTTGTTGAAATGGTGAGAATTCTCTATATCATGCACATGTTTTCGAATGGTATAAAAGGTTTTCTGAAATCCGAGTGAGCGCCGAAGATGACCAACGTTCAGGTCGACCTGTCTCTGTTTTAACTCCGCAAAAAGTGACCAAAATAAATGAAATTATGCGAAGAGATCGTCGTATGAGCATTCGGATGATTGCTGGGACTGTAAACGTCGATAAAGAAACTGTCAGAAAAAATTTACATGATGAATTGAACATGAAGAATGTCTGTGCGAAGTTGGTCCCAAAAAATTTGACCTCTGACCAAAAGCTCGTCCGTCAACAGATCTGCTCAGATTCCCTTGAGAGGTTTCATGAAGAGCCTGAATTAATGGAAAACATCATCACTTGCGATGAAACCTGGATATTCAAATAACCGGTGGATCTTGGGGCAACGCACCTGCCCATAACGCGCTGTCTGTGAAGCGTTATTTAGCCGCTAGAGTCCTTCCAGTACTCGAACATCCGCCTTACTCGCCTGATTTAGCACCCTGTAACTTTTTCCTGTTTCCGAAAATCAAGTCTGCCTTAAAAGGAATCCGGTCCGAGTCCATGGAAGAGGTGAAGCAAAAAACGGCGGAGATCCTAAAAGCTCTAACAAAAAAAGACTTCCAGCATTGCTTTGATTGGATGGAAAAAACGAATGGAACAGTGTGTGGCGAGGGAAGGGGCATATATTGAAGGAGAGCATTCGATTGTAGAATAATTTTTAAAATAAAACTCTTTTTCATAAGCAGTCTAGTTATTTAATAGCCAGACATCGCAATATAAGATTTCCTTCAAGACAAAGAAAGGGCACAAAATTACGAAAAGAAATAAAGATATAAAAGGAAGAAAAACAACAGCCAAATCCGAAAAAATGACAAAAAAGATACAAAATAATAATAAAATATACACAAAAATAATACTAAAATAGTTCAAATAATTATTATATTAATCATTGGCGGCACCAATAAAATTATAAACGAAAACTGAAACATCACAATATAAATGACTGATAAGAATAATAAAAGAGCGTTTCAATGAGCCACTAAAGAATATCAGACAGATAAATTACCGACTTTTTGTGTCTTTAACAAACAAACCCGATTTCAAAACATCTTATCATCGATTAAATCGTCCATATAAGTGTGCTGACGTGTATATATAAGCATAACATAGTTAGACTTACTCGAGCCACCTCCAAGGCTCTGTGTCCGGGCTGGTGATAGGCGTGGGAAACTAAGTAAACTCTTATTAGCATATTTGCGCAAGAAAAACACCATTTTATCATTTTAATACACTCTTGCTGGCAGAAAACACAATGTTTGTTTACAAATATACTAGGAAAAGTTGATAAAACTATGAAAGACAACTCATATGTAGTTCTATATACAAATTTCTAACTTCTTTTTTTTTAATCATTCAAATTGTATAGTTTTATGTAAATTTTTAGATATAAATTAGTTGTTTACTTTTTTTTGCGTCGACCGTCCATTTATGATCAATTTTAACACCCTCAAAATCATTCATTAAAGGCCCCTATTAATGAATGATTTTCTATTAATGAACGATTATATTATAGGCAACACAACATACATTGCTTGCATAAATTAATTACACGCTCTGTGATTGACAGTGACCTGTGGTGTAGGCAACCAAACATATACCTATTTATATTCCCACTAAAAAATTTGAAATGAAGTAATCGCTGTTAGTACTATCTGTCATTGTATGTCATTATTTACTTTATTGTTTAAAATTCTGTATTTGAAATTGTGTATTTGAAAAATCAAAAGATGGATATTGACGAAGAGTTTAATTTAAATCTATCAGAAGTGGCAGAAATTGCAAATGAAATATCTCTAAGTTTACTACCTGAAAAAAGTAGAGTGTTGTACGAAAAAACATACGCTAAATTTATTGCATGGTGTGACGAGAGAAAAATAATTTGATGATATTCAAAATCTGTATTGTTGACATATTTTTCAAACATTGCCGAAAAAGAACTAATAGCAAGTTTGTGGCCCAAATATTCGATGCTAAAATCAACCTTAAGTTTTCAACCTAATTAAACTTTAAATAAAGTTAATGAAAGCTAAAAAAATTGTTGTTTATCGTTAAGTAAATAAAAATTTAAACTAATATATCTTTATTTCTGAAAAGTACGGTCGACGGAAAAGTTTTGTAACCAACTCGGTAATTAAAATGGCGATTAACAATCTCGAACATTAACGCGCTCGCTCCGCTCACACGTTAAAATATCTCAATTGTTAATCGCCCTTATTAACACACTTTTTGGTTAAATAACTAATAATTATATTTCGATTAATATGGCTTTTGTTTACATTCACGATTGTATGTCAATTAATATCAACGTTAAATAATAAATGTCAGGCTGTGGAAGTGGCTTAAATTCATGTAATTTTCACAGCCTACTCAAATAAGGATTTTTATTGATCCTACAGTTTATTACACTCAACTTTTGTGATATTTCTGCCAGCACTTTACATATTTACAAGAGAATGTTAAAAGCAAAGCGTGTGCTTATAACACAGGTGTGAAAGTTTCGTTTGTTAGCGGTTAAATAGTAACGCTAGAGAGAAAACAACATTTACCTCTGCTTGAAGATCAGCCACTTTGTCCTGGAGTTCTCTTACCTTGTCGCTAGCCTCGACAGAATGAATGCGGAGTTCACCTTCGGTAGCGATTTCTTGGTTCTAAAATATAAAATATCGATTGTTGAATCGAAACGAAATAACAAATATAAATATATATCGTTAGATACATGTCTTCTTATTCTATTAACTGTATTTTGAGCAATGTGCATCTTGGCTCAACATGTTTTGTCAAATCATCGAATTATCTTACGGTAATATATTATGCTAGTAAATAAGAGTTATAGCAACAGCTGTACATCTGTCAAAACATACCCGGGTGCAGACATAAATTCTGATCATGTATCAGTTGTAGGTAATTTTAAAGTCAGAATGAAGAAGGTTACAAGTAAATCGATGAAGAAGTATAATGTTAGAAAACTGAAAGATTCCAATGTTCGACTGAAGGTGAGTGAAAATCTCAATACAGAAGTGCTAAAATGCAGAAATGCAGGAACTATAGAGGAAAGTCTGACCATCATACAAGAAACAGTGGGAAAAATAAAAAACAACACTGGAGAAAAATGCAGATAAATGGAAACCGGTGAAATATTTGAACTTATGGATCAGACAAAAAAAAAACAAAGAAAATCTCCAATATTATAAGAGGATACATACCATCGTCAAAAGAAATATAAGAGAAGCCAAAGAGAAACAAAAAACAACAATGTCAAGAATTGGAGAAGTATCAGGTTCGATATAATAACTTCAATGCCAAATGAAATCGTAGGCTTCCACGGCCAGAGTCAGAATTATAGTTTATTCGTCTTCCGGATTTGGACCGTGTCATTTGTGAGTGACCCAAATGTGGGTTCCATCTCGACGTTTCGCTACAATTGTATGTAGCTTCTTCAGGAGAACAAAGAAAAAGGAAAAAGTTTTTTTCTTTGTTCTCCTGAAGAAGCTACATACAATTGTAGCGAAACGTCGAGATGAACCCACTTTTGGGTCACTCACAAATGACACGATCCAAACCCAGAAGACGAATAAACTATAACTTCAATGCCAATCGAAAGGCGAAGGAAATAGCTAGAAAGTTCCAATAACGCAACAGTGAAAAAATAACAGATAATGAAGGCAATTTTGTCACAACCAAAGAAAATAAAAAGAAAGTATGGGAAAAATACTTAGAAAAAAACTTTTCCACGACCTTAGAAGATCGTGGAAAAGTTTCTCGGTACATGGTCCAGGTTCAGGTCCCGAAATCCTACAGAAGAAATAACGGTAGTGTCAGACAAATGAAGGATGGAAAGGCACCGGGACTTAATGAAATTCCTGCAGCACAGCTGAAGCTATTAGATGCAGAACAAATAAAGGTAATAACTGAAATTTTTAATGAAATATACAAGGCAAGAAAAACACCAGTAGTGTGGCTTAAATCGGAGTTCGTACCATTGCCCAAAAAAACAGGAGCAAAAGTTTGTGAAGACTATAGGACCGTAAGCCTAATGAGTTATCTGCTAAAGCTGTTTGTAAAAGTCATCCACAAAATAATGTACCGGAAATGCGAGGAACAAATTGCGCCCAAACCATTTTGGATTTGTGAACGCCGTTAGTATGAAGGAAGCTTTATTTAGCGTTCAGGTATTGTTTCAGAAATGTAGAGATGTCAGCTGTGATGTTTTTGCATGCCTAATTGACTAAAAGAAAGCTTTGGATAGAGTCAGGCATAAACAAATGATGGAAGTGGTGAAGAGGACAGAGATTGACGGAAGAGACCTAAAAATAATAGCTAACCTGTATTGGAATCAATCAGCTGTGTTCCGAATAGATGGAGAATATACAAATCAGGCCAAAATCTTAAGGGGAGTGAGACAGTGGTGCATAATTTCACCACTGATATTCAATCTGTACTCGGAGCACATTTTTGAAGAGACTTTAAAATATATTGATAAAGACATCTAGGGTCCCAAAACGAAGAAGAATATCCTGTCTTGCTAACCTGAGAGCATCGTATAGAAAGACCTCAACTCAGCTATAATATATCTCAGCTAACAATATATTTTCTTCACTTACTTTTGTAAATGTTTTTCACAATTGAATATCAATTGAGTATCAAGTTTTAACTGGTGGAAGATTTCAGTGACAATAAAAACACTACTAATCAAATAATCAAAGAAATCAAACTAAGAGAAATCGTACGTGACAAATTGTTTGAAGCCTTTGCCACCATTTGCTTTGAGGATAGATTTGTTTCTTCTACAGAAAAATTTATTATATTATTGTTTCCACTTTCTTAATTTCTGATTCAATAGCTTATAAGCAAGTACAACAATCAAAAAGATAAAATACGATAATTTTAACAACGTCGTAAAATTTTCTGACAGCGATGACTTGTCAATGCTCAATTCTTACCTCAATACAAATGGCCGATTCAGCTTCACTTAATCTGTATAGACGTTATAGACCACGCATGCCAGCAACGAGCAGTGACGACATCTTTTGCAGTTGTTTCTCCTTCTTTTGTTTACCCCCACTATGTGGCTGATTAACTCGAACTCACTGGATACTCATAAGTACTGTATTGGTTTTCTAAGTACAATAATATAGATAGTACCCAGTTGACGGATGACAATACTAGCTTCGACTTTTAACTTTTAATTCTTAATAATAATGATCTACTTCCGTTATTTTCCTGCTATTTAACTCACGTGCGTTTGTTTATATAATAATGTTTTACTAATATGATTTGTACACAATATCAAACAAGCTTTTGATTACATTGCAAATTTCATGTAGGTCATGGAGAAACATGGAAAAAGACGTAAGAAAATACATTAAACAATGTCATAAATGTTAAATTAACAAACCGAAAAGACTACATGTCGAGGAATTCGTAATATCGGACACTTCTTCAAAACAATGGGACATACTGTACAAAGACACGATAGCTCCATTCCCTAGAAGTAATGAAGGCAATAGATACTTTATCACAATGCTGTGTGAGCTGACAAAATACGCAGTAAGTATACCAGTGTATGCTCTCCCTGCACTGTTCCTGCATATAACTCCCCACTCGCCCTCTCCAAAACAAAAAGAGACACAACTAACAACGACAACAAATATGGTGTCGTTACTTAGCTCTACAGACTCCTCGGTCTGTGTTAATCTGTACCTTTTAGATAGGAGTTGTTTATCTATTGTTTTAACTCTGCTACTGAGATCACTAACCAATAAAATTAAGAACCTCAATTGAACTTCACTCTGTGTTTCCAGAGATAAAGAGAGGGAGAGATTGAGAGTTGGAGGAGTGAAGGAGAGAGAGAGGAGGCGAAAGAACAGATAAGTTATTAAAATTGTATACTTCAAGAGTTAGTTAAAGAACTGTAAGTACAATGATAGTTTGATAACACAGTTACGTGATGTGTAAACAAAACAAAAATACCGATTAGTGAAACCACAAAATAATAATTATTCAAATTAAATCATTTAGTTAAAAATAGAGGTGGAAGCGAATTGAGAACGTAGGCTTCCACGGCCAGAGTCAGAATTATAATTTATTCGTCTTCCGGGTTTGGACCGTGTCATTTGTGAGTGACCCAAAAGTGGGTTCATCTCGACGTTTCGCTACAATTGTATGTAGCTTCTTCAGGAGAACAAAGAAAAAGAAAACAAAAGACAGGAAGATGGGTAGTTAGCAACGGTAACTCAGTTACTCAACGCAACCAGAGGCGAATACTAACTACCAATATGGGCATTTGGTCACAGTAACTCAACTACTCAACGCAGCCAGAGGTGAAAACCAAATGCCAGGACAGGGATTCACGTCCAACAGCTCAGAACACTAACGCGTCGAGAGGCGGGGAGTGAATCCGGCGATTACTCCGCTACCGCTCTATTTATAGTCGCGGTGACCTGTCGTGTCGGGACGTATCGGCACACTTCGTGGCGCGAACGTCAAGAAGCGCGCGCTGGCCAATCATGTGGATGCATCGTGGTAGCGGGACCGGACGGAGGCTCTAGACTGAGATTCCAGATGGGAGACAAGTAGTATCCTTCCTCTCGATTGATGTTATGTGGATTTTTTCGGATCTCTAGAGATTCGCGGATTTTCCTGGAATAAAAGAAGGGGCTCTTAGAAATAATATGGGTTTTTTCGAACAATATGGAATGACCGGTTTCTTGGCAGTGTTCTGCAACTGCAGAATGGGAGAAAAGACCTGATCGAATGCATCTTTGATGCTCTTGAATCCGAGTTTTGACGGAACGACCAGTTTCGCCAATATACACATGTCCACATGAACAAGGAATAGAATAGACACCACAGGAAGATAGGGGCGGTAATGGGTCCTTAGGAGAGGGTAGATATTGTGAGATTTTCTTGGGTGGTCGAAAAGAGGTCCTGATACCTTCTTTGCGAAGAATTTTGCCAATCCTATAAATTCCAAGCGAATTATTTAATCAGTTCCAAAAAACAACAGTTGAATTGTTAAAAGTGCCTCAACGTTAATATGAATTGCTAGTAAACTAAAATAGTTCGTAGCTAGTAAAACACTTAGGGCCGATTGTTCGAACGCTAATCAAAACTTTATTGTATTCAAATATTTAATTAAAATCAAATACCTCACATTTTGAGGTTATGTTGACTGGTTTATTTTATTCAATTTTATTTTGCGTTTTGACTTAAAATAAACCATAATTAAACCCTTTCTGATATTAATTTAATGATTTTATTTACAAATCAATAATAATAATAAGAAATTTTTAATAATTTTGACAGCTACTGTGACGTATTTGATTGTAATTAAATATTTGATTACAACCAAGTTTTGATTAGCGTTCGAACAATTGGCCCTTAGAGGACATGAAAAATGAACTATAAATGAATATGTTGATCACCTGAATCTTCGAGACCAATGACAAACTTTTATCAATCACATTCTTGAAGAAACTTTATAAGAATATATCGAAACAATTGATTCTGACAAATACCATACAAAAATCATTACTTAATGATAAAGGTAATTAAAAATAGAGCACAAAAGGGGAATTTGAACCGGTGTCGCCAGAATATAACCGGTGACGTTACAGTTAAAAATAACTTGTTACGCGCCTCGTTCCAGTGGCGCACCTAGAATTTTCTGGGGGGGGGTTAACTCCAAAACCCCTCCCTGGGTGCGCCACTGTCTCGTTTCCGTACCTACAGCGCTTCGTGTATCTTCCAAATTTTATCTCAATGGTGTTTGTATGTGGGGTGGCCTACATATTGGCGCTATATAGTTTGAAAATTAGTCTGTAAGAATGGATTTAAAGAAGCAATTGTAAAAATACATAAAGAATAGGATATAAAATGCATAAAATTTAGAAAAATATACAGATTAATTAGTTACTTTTAGTTCTAGCTGTCCGATTTTCTGCATGAGCTCGGCGTTGGCCTGCGTTTTTTCGGCTTCGCTGATCTTGGCCCTCATCAGTTCGTCCTTCATTTTGCTTTCGAGGTCGGCGTATCGTCGCTGTTCGTCCAACAAACGGGCTGCTGCTTCCTTGTTTTTAACTTCGGCCACCTCGGTCAGTTCTAGCTGCTTTTTGATTTCTTCGTCTTGTCTTCGCAATTGGTTGGTGCTCACCTGGACTTGTGTCTCTAATTCCATTACCTAAAAAGTCAATGATGATTTTATTGTTTAAATGGATAAAATCAGAGAATATTGGTATCAATTAGGAACGTCCATTTGTCAACAACTTACGTGTTTTTGAGTTGTGATTGAATACGCATAAATGAGTGATTTCCAATGGAATATTTAGTATTTTTAATGGGAAATAACCACAATTTCAAGTGACAATAGATACGTTTCACTTACATTTCGGAAATCGTTCTCAAAATACAATAGAGTTGGAACTAATGAGAGAATTTACGATCATGGTTGAATGTGGTTGGTTTTTTAAACACAAAATCACATGCATCTACTTTAAAATATATATTTTAATATATGTCTGAATTGTCATTATGAATAAGGCAAATAAAATTAAATTGCTAGTGACAAAACGTATTTCCAACTAAAATGATGTTTAATTCATATTAAAAATAGTAAAAGATCTTCAAATTCCAAAATAAAATAGCTTCAGAACCATATTGTAATTGAATAAGCGTAAGTAAGTGCTGTGTAATGTAATATGTGTAATAAATAATTTGTGACATGTAATTTATGATCAGTGATTCGGAGGTGATGTAAATAATTTGCAATAAGTAATTTGTGATTAAATTATTGTAAATAAGTGTTAATAAGCATAAGTAAGTGTTCTGTAATGTAATAAGTAAGTAATTTCTGATATATAATTTATAATACGTGATTCGGAAGTGATATAAATTATTAATGATTGAATACGTGTGCAAATAAGTGATTTTATAAATTTATTTGTCATTAAATAAGCGTAAGTAAGTGCTCTGTAATGTTAATATGTGTAAATAAATAATTTCTGACATGTAATTTATGACAAGTGTTTCGGAAGTGATATAAAAGATTTATGATTGAATAAGCGCGTAAATAAGTAATTTTACAAATTTATTTGTCATTTAATAAGCGTAAGTAAGCGCGCTGTAATGTAATTTCTGACATGTAATTTGTGATAAGTGATTCGGAAGTGATATTTGATTTACTGTAAGTGATTTGTGATTGAATAAGCACAAATAATTTAATAAAAATTTCAGCGTCATTTATTAAGCGTAAGTAATTGCTCTGTAATGAAATAAGTGTAAATAGATAATTTCTGATATATGACAAGTGATTCGGAAGTGATAAGTGTGATTTGTGATTGAATAATTGTAAATAAATGATTTGTTATAGGTAATTTGTAATTGAATAAGCATAAATAGGTATAAGGGACATCCAAAGACTTTTGCGTTGTAAGCGGTAAGTTTAAGTAATTAGTAAATGACTTGTAAAAATAAATAAAACAATAAAATCTATGTATACCTTCAGTCTGAGCTCTTTAACTTCAGTCAAAGTCTCCATCTCACGTATTCTTGTAGTCATCAGCTCTTCCTCCAATTTCTGAGTTTCATTATGTCCCAGTTTGCCGAAAAGTAGTTTCTTAGGTGTGCTCAATGGGTCCGAAGGTGGGGGAAGGTCTTGTTTGTGGTCCTAAAAATTGAATTGTTACATTTTACGATATAACAATAAATTTTTGCAGATTTTTAAAAGTAAAACTCTCTATAGTGCTAGAAAAATAAATAAAAAGGAAACAAATGAAGATATTTTTCAAAGTAAAATATATGTAAAAAAGATCTGAATACCTGTAAATGTCTTTGCCACTGATCGCTCAATTCCGATACCCTCTGTCTAAGATCCTTCAATGATAAATTAGCTTCGGCTTCTCTTAGCTTCACCGCGATCAATTCTTCTTGCAAATGAGCCACACTATTATCCGGAGTGATTTCCCTAAGCGTTTTCTTGTCTTCCTCCAACTCGTGTATTCTCGAACGAAGATCTCGGATGATGGCGTCGTTCTCCGCCTCCCTTAAACGCACTTTTACAAGTTCCTCTTGAAGACACTCGATCATCTCTTCGCGTTGGACGAGCTGCTCTTGTTTTAGGGTGATTTCTTCCATGGAAGATTGACGTGAGGTGTGCTAAAAAGCAAAAATTGCATATTTACAATAACACAATAAGGCTCTGTAGTAAGAAAAAATAAAATTGATAAAAAATCAATGGATAAAAAGAAAAGAAAAAGAGAAAAATTTTATCTATAATGTACGAACCGTTTCTTCCATCATCAAAGACAAGGCTCTGATCCTTTCGTTGGCCAACGCTAGTTGGTGAGTGGTCTCCAGGTGAGTATGCCTTAAAGCGTCCAGTTCCCTCTGTACCACGAAGGTGGTTTCCTCTTCTTCGGCTCTACTAACTTGTCCTTTGACTAGTCTATCGGCTAAAGCTTTGCTCTCTTCTTCTAACATCTCGCATCGATGTCTCAGCTGTTTATTTTCATGACGCAGCCGCTACAAATAAAAATATAGATATAGATTCTTAAACATTAAAAACTTATTTCAATTGTAATAACTTGTATTTAAATAGCAGATACGTCGAAACATTTTAATCAATTTACCTTCAACTCAGCCATTTCTTCTTGTTCTTTGGTCTTGATAACGATATATTCCTTCTCTAATTTCTTCATCTTCTTGGCGTTGTATTTCATCTCATAGGCCGTCTGCATCAAAGCCTCAGGATCGGCTTCGGCGTGAGCGGGAAGCTCCTTTTGGAAATACTTTAAAAACAAGAAAAAATAAGTATTGGAAACAATTTTTGTTATGAGAAATTTTTTAATGGGAATAGAATTTTGTTCTCTTTTTGTGAATTGTATGCTGCTTCCCTTATAGCACAATTCTATCGCGAACATGGTAGGCTGCTAATTTATGTTGTGAAGGATCTGATGATGGATTATGTATAGTTGTGTCAGTATGGGTAGGTTTATGAAATACGAAGAACTTATGTTTGTTTTCAAATCTCATAATTGTTAAATCTAGAAAATTTATTGACTGATTTTGTTCTATTTATATTATAAATTGAATAGACCATGGGAGTGAATTAATGTAAGATGAGAATTTTTCAAGTTGACTATTAGTTCCAGTAAGGCACATTAATATATCTTCCACGTATCTTCACCAATATAAAAAAATGTTTGAATACGGGATGTTTTGAAATATTTGTTTCTAGATTATATATAAAAATATTTGATATCAATAGGCTTAGAAGATTACCCATGATTCTATACAAAGTTACATTGGTCAAACTGGTAGAATCTTTAACAAACGTATTGCATAACACATAATGGGTTTGAATAATAGAAAAATAGATTCTAAGTATGCATTTCACCTTCTAGATCACAATCATTCTTTTAATCCAATTTGAATCAACTTGACCCAAGTTGAGACAAGTCAACTAATGACCTAACTTCAGACAAACATATCTTCCCTCCTCAACTAGTCAGTTAAAAATTATCAAGTGTAGACGCACAGTAAAATTTAATCACTTGAGAAAGACACTCTTCCGAAACAGCTGTAGTGAAAATTAATTGAAATACATTTTGTTTGTTGAAAGTATTGAAAATAAGTTTTCAGCATTTTATTTTTAGGTAAAATGAACTTCCCTCAAGTAGTTATTTACTAATTTGCTAATATTATGTCTAAAATCCTGCTGCAGCGACAATGGTGAGAATTGAAGATTCTATTTAGACCGGTTAAGGTAACCATACATTAAATTGCTGTATATTACAAAATGTTTATAGTTATATATATTTACTATTTAAAAAGTGATACTCAGAAATATATTATAATTATTACCTGTTTAATAGCATTCATATTACAAATACATGAATATTTCAGGTATTACAAACAACTAGTATCTTATCAGCATGTTATCGTTTTAACCAACAAGTAGATAAGGCGTTGAATAAAAATATAGATAAATTAGTCATTTAAAGATAACTCTAAATGACTAAAAAATAAACAAATCACGAAATAAAAATTATTAAATAATACCATATCAAAACAATCAATTATCATGCTATGAACTTAGTAAATGCGTTAACATGCGTTTTATCTAGGGACGGGGCACTGAGGAACAAATAATAAACGTATGACAAATTATAGAACAATCCAGACAACTTAGAATATCATGTTTTTGATCTATTGAAATTGTTTGCTAAAATTTAATTATTTAGAATTGTGATGTAGCAGTTCGTTAGTACGGTGTAGTTATATTTGCTGAAATGTAATTAGTTTGTATAATGATTTGGCGTCCATTGGACAATGTGGTTGAAAATATTGCGTAGGATAATAGTGATTTTGTAGAAGTTGAAAGTGCTGTTGCGGTAAAGTAGATTCAAATGCATTTAAATGCTTAAACAGTGTACAAATATCTACATCAGAAATTTGGCTTCGATAAAAAACTGTTGGTTCAAGCCACTTCTGATTTAACAGAAATTCCGCTGTCAACTGCATACAAAATAGTTCAAAATGAACCCTATCATCACAAGAACCGATGTGACTACAAATTTTTAAGACCTATAGATGCTTCGAATATATGAATATATGATTGCTAAAGAACATCCAGCCGCCGCACTATATCTTAAAGCAGAACTATCAAAACCTACAAATCTCAACGTTCTTCTATATTTTTTACTGCAACTATACAAGTAGATTAACAACTGTACCGACATTAGAATAAATGGATAACTAACAGACAGTTTCAGAGTCACTACTGATGTTATATCAAACGAATACTATTATTGAGTTAATTTACTAATATTTATTTACACAAGGAATCTAAGTTCATGTAGTTTGCTGTATACCATATATCACAAAAAATCCTTTATAAAAGGTATATAATTTAAAAAATCCAATCGGGCTATATCACAATACATTTTCGGAATCCATATTTCATCATAAAAAGTATACACTGTGTCCGTAAAGTATGGAACAAATTCTTTTTTAGCTAAACAGAGCATTTTAAGAAATAATCCTGAGACACGTCGATTTTTAATTTTAATTTATCGTATTTTAAAATAATATTCTAATATACAGGGTGAATTACTTTCGAGTAATGACGTCACCGCCATTTTTTTTAATGGAACACCCCCATTTTGTCTCAATTTTCGGATTACTCTAGCTGAGCTGATTCCAAAAATGTATCACATGTTGATTCAAATTAGTACAGAGTGGACAAAAATACAATAGTTTCGTGTGTGTTCATAAAGTAACGCGCTAGTTAAATCCACAATATTATCAAAAATACTTATTGTCTAGCGGACAAAATATAATGAAATACATGACTTTGTAAATGTTCGAACTGCAGCCTTTTTGTATTTAACAGTAACCCAAACGTTGTACAAATTCTTGTTAAACCTTGTTTATTGTGTCTTGAGAAATATTGTGTATTGCTGTTCGAATTCTCTGGTGTGATTCCTAAATATTTGCTGGTTTCGTTTGATACACAACATTCTTCAGATGGCACCACATAAAATAATCCAAAGGATTAAAATCTGGTGACCTCGCTGGCTATTCAACAGGTCCACGTCTACCAATCCACCTGTTCGGAAAAATTTCATCTAGGTACCTTCTGACATCTACAGCATAATGTGGAGGTGCACCACACTTAATAATCCACATAATGTGGACTTCCTCCCTCTCCATCGTCAACTATTCTCATAACCCACGTCCTTAATTTACTTCTACAACAAAATCTATATTTATCATTATTCGTTCGTTAACTATTCATCTCCCTTAGTTTACTTTAAAACCTTTCGTTCAATACATCATACTCTCCATCTTTCCACACTTCTTTCTATTCAACCTAAACTTCAAGTCTGACCCCCATACCTAATGTTTTCCATGCTTCTCTTCGACAAAACCTCTAAATTCAGAGTAGATTATTCATCATCCCTCTCCTAAATTACCTGAATTATCCCGGATTACAAAGAGATCGGTTATTGTTATTGGAGTTTTATTATAAAATGACAATAAGTATTGTCAAAGTATGTATATTGTAATTTGAATATCGCTACAACAGTTTGTATAAAATAGGAAAAAAAATTCGTTACCTTCAACATCCCCTCCATATCCAGCGACATCAACTCCTCCTTCCCCAACGTCAACATCGCCAAAGCCACTTTGAAGATGATCTCCATGCCCTCCGACAGAAACACGTCCATAATCCTACAGGCTAACGGCAGAGTCAGCGCCGTCGTAAACAGCGTCAAAAACCAGCTCGAAGCGTACATGGAAGTGTGGAAGTTTTGAGATTGGAAGTGCTGATTGAGGTCCGGTAGGTACTCGGCGACAAGGTTTTCCAGTTGGTACATGCACAAGCCCAGTTCCGCCATGCTGGGTTTGAACATGTCCCGCATGCGATAGTCTTCCATGATGCGGACGAGTACTGCAAATGCCTCTTCTTCTGGCATCTAAATAATATAAATATTCTATATATTAGCATTTATAGCTGAAATATTTTACGAATGATTGTCAACTGTATTTATATATTTTTTTAATATAAATATTCTTTTAAAAAGACATAGTAAAATGTCCAAAACTTTATAGTAAAACTAGATCATGCTTATGTGTGCTTATTTTGTGAGTAACGGTTTTGATATGTTGTATAGTTTTGTATATTTTTTTTTTCATTGGACATCAAACTCTATTTGCCATTTGCCATCAAAAACTGCCACTAATCTGGGATAGAAGAAAGTAAAGCAAACAAAATTGTCAACTAACCCCAAAATTGATCAAATGAGTTTGTTATGCTTGTGATTAATAGTAACTATTTTCATACAAAAAAGTATGACCTGATAAAGATCTTTGAACCAATGTTGAAAATTTGGCAGCTATTATTGTTCAGACTTAGTTTTTTTCATGGTTATATTATGAAAATAAAACCTTGTAAAAAATATTTAAACCAATCAATGATGATCAATTTAAGAAAGCTCCTAGAAGTAGCGTTGAGAAGGAGAAATCAGCAGGACTGATTATCTCGATTAATGAGGACCATGGATTTAGACATAGTAAATCTTATCTTATCTTATCAAGTCTTATCACCTTTAGATGCAGTACTAGAATTTTTAGAACATGCCTAGTTTTAGAGTCACATTAACTGTAGCAAATTCTCTCCTATTAAAAGAATTCAAATACTGCGAAATTACTTTAGTTAATCTTATGATTTATTTTATTTAGCTTTACGTATCTCGACAGCGTAGGTCACTGACACAGGTAAAATTTTATTACATTACATTACAAGAATATACAGTAACATTACAATCGATAAAGAAATACATTAAATTTTAATATTGGTACAATTATTAATTATCAAATTCTAAACTACGTTTCTTCTTCTAAATTTCAAGGTAAAGCCTGGTTTTATAGAGGAAATAAATAAGGGTTTGGAATTGATCTGGCGAGCTGAGAATATTTTGTAGGTTTCGACTAAAAAGATTCTTTTTTCTGTTGTTGTTCAAAGCATCTGTGTACACAATTTGGTCAAATCTGTTGTTAGCGATTAATTCTTTAAAGGGTTGTCTTAGAAATTGTGGATTTGTCTGATGCTTATCATAATTAGTTACCAGAGATTAAAATCTGCTTTCAATTTATTCCAGGGAGGTTTAGGTGATATTAATATTGGAGTTGTGGCTGAAAGATCGATGTTATTCAGATGTGGTGAGAGATACTGTGGCATATATTCTTGTTTAATAGGAGGAGAGTTTAAAAGGTCATTACTTAGTAACTTATAGGCTGGATTTTCGGAATTAGCTGAGATTCGAGTCAAATATTAGGGAGTTGCCGGCGACGTAGCCAGAGGGGAAGTTCATTAGCTTCTCTGTATGAACTCTCTGTGGGGCTCGACCTGAAGGCACCAAAGCACATTCGAAGTGCAGTGTTGTGTACAAAATTAAGAAGTTTTAAATCTAATGCGCTAGCAGACATATTTATGAAACTGCAGTAGTCTATGTTAGAACGAATAAGACATCTATAAATCTGAAGTAAGGAGTTTTCGTCTGCACCCTAATGATAATTGGATAGAGACTTTAATATGTTAAGACTTGTCAATCACTTAATTTTGAGATCTTTTAAATGGCATTTTCAAGTAAGTTTGCTGTCGAATGTGAGTCCAAAAATTCGTATACTCTTTACTGCTGGTAGACAAGTACAATTTATAGTAATTTTAGGATTTATAGTACTGGCTGTCCTGCGAAAGAACTCAACGATTTTTGTCTTCTTAACAGAAAGCTTAAATCCACTTACTGAAATTCATTCAAGCAATTGGTCAGTAGCATTCTGAAGCACTTTGCAAGTGGCAACAGTGTCTTTGACTCGGCAGAAAATTATTAAATCATCTGAGTAGAATGCAAACTTGACTGGAAGCCCAATTTTTTTTACATATATCGTTTAAAACAAGTATAAAGAATGTAGGACTCAATACTGGCCTTTGGGGAACGCCACTAGTTTGTTGAAAGTACTATAGATTTTGTCATTTTCTCTTACGTTAAAGGTTCTATTTGTTAGAAATTGATTAATAAATGAAGATATATTTCCAGCTATATTGTACTCCTCGAGTATAATAAGAGATCTATACAGAGTATCGAATGCTTTTTCGATATCAAACGAAACAGCTATTACGTCTTGTTTGCACTGGAAGGCGTTGAGTATTAATGTTTGGAGGACTGCTAAATTGTCTTTTTGGTACCACAGGAAAAAATGTGGAGGTATCTGAACTCCTAAAAGCTGGACAAATGTCTCAAAATGAAATAGCAGCAATGGTAGGAGTATCAAGAAGTTCTGTACGGAATATAAAACAGAAAATGCGTCTGGAGTCAGTTTGGATCAAAAGCGTAAGAGTCACAGCGAAAGACATCTTGTGAGTACTTCTAGGACTGATCGCAAAATAAGAGATATTTGCCTAGTAAACAGAAAGAAGTTTACTGTGAATTCTTACCCAGGAGATAAGAGATGAATTAATTTTTGTTTCAGAAAGACTTGCCGAAAACAAACTGGCAGCTAGGAGACCAGCTCGAAAACCAAGGCTTGCTCCGGCTATGATAAAGAAACGTTTCGAATGGACACAAAAATACAAAAACTGGACAGTGGAAGACTGGCAAAAGGTATATTTGTGTTGTTTTGCTTGAATATCAATATTAGAAATTAAAAAAACATGAGCATGTCTAAAAATTTTGTTGATTTCAGGTCTGCTTCTCGGACAATGCCGTTTTTCAAGCTTTGAGAGAAAGAACGAAGTTTGTTAGGACACGATCCAACGGGAAATCCAAGCCCGATTGCATTGTGCCCACCATCAAACACCCACCGTCACTCATGGTCTGGTCTGTGGTATTCGGCAAAGGTACAGGCCGTCCCTACGTGGTGGAAAACACAATGAGACAAGACCAGTACCAGAAAGTACTCGAGACGAGACTTTTGCCACAGCTGCAGGAATGGTTTCCTGGAGAAGAGGAACCCATATTTATGCACGATGGTGCTCCTTGCCACATGGCTAAGATTATTTTAAATTATTTAAAACAAAAAAAATAAAATTCTTGATTAACCAGACAACTCGCCTGATATGAACGCTATTGAGAATAGGTGGGAACTACTGAAAAGGGAGATTACAAAAAAAACATTACTAATAAAAGAGTTACTTGAAACGCTCATATATGAGTGGAATCATAATCCTCACCTCCAGGGAACTATTCAACCCTGTATCGAGAGTATGCCTCGAAGTGTTCAAGCTTTTTTAGTAGCCAAAGGCGGACATACAAAATATTAAATTTATCCATTTTTTTTTAAATTATACTTTTTTAAAAAATAAAAGTTTTTTGTTAACTTTTTTTACAAATATTCACAAAAAAGAATAAAACAGTATTTTTTTCAAATATATTCATAATCATGAAAGAAACAACTTCATGTAGTAAATTTTTCCTGTAACTGTATTATTATTATTGCACTGTAACAATCGATAAAGTATGCGTTTTATTATTTTCTTAACATTTTTCAATCAATCAACAATTTCTTGTAATCCATTACCAGATTCTGCAAATTATACTAAGTAGTGATAATTTATTGATCGACTGCGTATTTCTTGGTAATTTGGCATTTATCAACATTCAATAATTGGTATGTCAATATTTTTGGTAATATATTATTTTGACCGATCCTCCGATATTTTTTTTTTGATTTCATCGCGTCTTGAAACCTCTTTTTCCGAGATTTAATGATCGATATGTTCCACTTTAACGGTGCAGTTGCTAAGCAAAATACACAGTCACAGTCGTTTATCTTCCTTAAAAGATTGATTTTTACGGGAAAGAGTCACTTAATTTACAAATAAAATCAATAAAACGCAAGCAAGTTCTCTTTGTATCTGTGAAACTCTCCTAGGTTTTATTCGCCTTTGTTAAAATTCAAATTTGTTGGTGGCAGACTCTCTTACGTCATTAATACAAAGAACCGGAAATCATTATTATAATGTTAAAAATATGAACAAACCATCGTACCATCGAGTATAAGCATATGCAATTCGTACTTTTACCGTTTATGAATCATTTCTCTAATTATCTGCAGGATTATTAAATGTTAACACATCATGAAAAAATTATTTTTAATTATAAATAGATTTGACTTGATCAGTAAATTGAATGACTATTTTTCGTTTGTTTTGTGCCAAGGTTTTTCGTGGTTTCACTGTATTCGTGACTTGAGATGATGCATAAAAATATTTTGACTTCAATTTGTAATAATTTATTCAGAATCTTCGCTGCAGCGTTTTCAAGATTTATGCCAGCGAATGGATAAAATTATGTCCTTCGTCCTACGTTAGGAACCTGTGGACTATAAAAGTATTTCACATAAATAGAGTTCTTTGAATGTAGCTACAAAGCATACATGGACCAGATAGCACATAAAAAGCCTTTTTAGTGATACACTTTTTTATCAGTACTACTACTTTTAATCAATTGGGTGATAACAATATGTAATATACATACAGAGTGGCCCAAAAGTCTGGAAACGGCCAATTATCTCGTAAATTGTTAGTTATAATTGTACAAAATTTGGGGTACACCTATTTTGGGATACGGAGATTCCATATTTGATATTTGCAATGTTGCCAGATTTTGTAAACTGAATTTTTCAAGTATCCCTAATAAAAATAATCTTTAGGATTGAAATCGGGTGATCGTGGAGGCCTTTCAATTATACCTTGTCTACCAATAATCCGTACGATAAGTACGGAAAATATCTCATCTAAATAATGCCGAACATTTACACCAACTATCTGACGTTAATTTCCTTCGATAAAAAATGACCCAATTGACTAAGTACCTACTATACCTGATCATACATTTAATTTTTGTGGTCTGGTATGGTTTTCACGCATTCAGTGTGAATTTCATACGAGTTCAACTATTCAATACGAGTTCAA